GACGCCCAATCAAAACCTCAGTTACACGCGCACTCGCAATAAGTCTCCGTCAAATTGCGGGCACCTCGGTCGGGATTCAATCCCGCCAGCTGTGGATCCGTAGGTCGACGCTTTGCCTCAAAGTCACCGAGGTTTTATTTTGTTTTGTTTGTTTGTTTTATTTGTCGAGCCACAGAGACGGTCGCCTTCAGTTCATCGTTTCCAGCCATCTCTTTACGAATCACGTGGAACACTACGTGAGTGACGCGCGTGAACAATGGGCTATCATTTATCCCGGTCTTTATTTTCCGTAAAATCTGATCAGCCACTAGCAGCTTTCAGCGCTAGTGGCTTTGAACAGCGAAACTGTGTCCTTTGTACCGTGCCATGGCTGCCGACGAAGCCTTTTTTCTCGATAATCACACAAAGAAAACGAAAGTTGAATTCCGATTGCGTGAGGTGAAATCAAGTCGCAGTGCCTCACCTGATCGCACGTTTACGCCTATTATACGCTTGTTCACCTCAAGAACCGTAGTAAAAAAAAAAAAAAGTCCGGCTTCTTGCGGAACGTTTTTAATCTCTTCCCCTCTCCTAGTCCTCCTCCTCCTCCTTTTCCTCCTCCTCCTCTTCCTTCCTCCCTCCCTCCCTCCTCCCTACTTCGTGTGTCGAACGCCAAAAGCATAGTTTCTTCCTTCGACAAACAAAATGTTTGTAACTACTTCGGATGGCTTACGAATAATGCGCAAAACTTTCTATTTTTTTTTTTTTTTTGGTGCGACAACGAGTGTACGCTCGTGCGGGAACTATGAGGGGCGCTTCGAAAAACGCGCGTGGCGTCGCTAGCGGAGACGCTGGCGTCCGACTGTGAAACGCGTTCAGCAGTTTCGAGCCGACACTTAGAGGGCGACGTTCCATGAGGGTCGGGGCAGACCTGCAAAAGCTGATCTAGCTGTTCTCCGCTTATTTATCCCAGGATATAAATTTAGGAAATCACAGTGCAGGCTCGCTTCCGACGAGAAATCTTCTCGGCTTCTGGAAGGTGCAACCTCTACACTTTGTTTCACAAAATCGAACGAGGGAATAATATTCTGATAGCATACCGCCATGAATACCCCGAGTTCAAGGTGGAGAATAAACATCAAGATGATTTAAATCGTTATTTAGGTCACACCAATTTCACTGATACTTTTCTTAAAACACCTTTCGCACAGACCTAATCTCAGAAATACGCTTTTGTTATCGTCTATCTCTAACTTGATTTTGTTCAAGTGCATTTATTTTGTTTAAACAAAATCATTAAACAAAAACGTAAACCTAGAAGGCTGAACGCGAACAAACGCGGTAATCTTCTGCTAACCGGAGAGGTAAGCTTTGTTTCTATCTTCCACTTCTTTCATCAATTACGTGGCATCTTATGCAAGCGAATCACAATATAAAGGAAACATGCACTCACAATCACGCGGACCAACAAAGAAGGCGACGTGGAGAGACAGGAAGAGACAGACTGACCGACTTGTATGTTCGGTTGATCTTGCATCAGCCAGTACATCCTTTTTGTTTTAAACAAGCTTTCCGTTTTTTTTTTTTTTTTTTTTTAATGAGATTATACCACCGTTTTACGCACTTCAAAACCAGAAGAAGCAACTGTCGTTAAACAACTCAAAAGCTTTACATATAAACTTCGGACTGATGCCTATTTTGTTTAGCTGAAGCAAATAAAGTTTTCCGAATAACCAAAGAAATTAAGCTCTTTTGGTTCTAGCATGGCGGGAAAATCTTAAATTTAAAATTCAGATCAATGAAAAAAGACGATTTAGTTGATTTTTTTAATTTAAAACTTGTTTTCTCTTAGACTGCGCTGTTTAAGTTATGTCGCATTAATTTGACCAAACAGGAATTTCGGGCGTTTTCTTTTGCCGTCACCTTCTGCCTAGCGGCAACGCCAAATGTGAAACGACGTTAATTGAAAAAAAGAACGCACGCAAAACTGCAAGTTTCAAACATCGATTGTCTAGTGTTCTCAAGTTTCATCGTAATTCTCATTATAGATACACATTTCTCAATTAATGTACCGTCCAAATTGTGTGCCTTTGGAGGGCATCCCTCCAACGAAATGGGCGCAGCATATTCGCGAATGTGGGATTGGAAACACCAACTCCGCTGTCTGGCGCTGTTGTAGGCAGTGCGCACGCGCAGACGCTGGTTTGTGCACACAGCTAAACATTTGTCAACAGTCTGTCGGTGTGTATCAACCATTGTTCGGATTTGTAGACGACGCTTTTGGCTGCTTTGCAAACTACGACTCTGCTCCGACGGCTCGTTCTCATATGCCAGCCGTAAAAAAAAAAGAAAAAAAAAAAGAAAAGGAACGAAAAGCGAATAATGTGTCGTCTGGCGTCACAACTGCAAGATAAGAGACCGAGCTGAGCGGTATCTGAACACGAGAGTATCGCAGTAGGGTTTCTAGAGGACCTGCCACTTTACGAGGAACATAAAGAAATGGTTATAAAAAAAAAAAAAAAAGGAACCACGCCCGGATGTGACTTATGTTCAGATCTTTCCGCGCCACTAATAAGGAAATAATCGGGCTCGGGAACTTTCCGACGGCGAACTGCGTCAGAAAGTGTCGACACTCGCTTTGCAACGCCAACTTGCGTCCGTCGGATACGTTGAAGACTTCGTTCGTTTCGGCTCGTGAGTGGGACAATGCTGTAACCACAGAGTTCCTGCTCTCTGTATGTAAGCAGCGTACGAACGTCCAGCTTCGTGTGAACACCTGGGTCCGTGTGTTCATTCCTACATTTTTGTTGTCGTTTCTTTTGTTGTTGTTTTCTGCGCTTTTACGTAGTAATTAGGTACTAGCTAGCCCACTTGCGCATTCTGTTACAATAAAAGTAAGTGTACTGTCTTCCCAAGAGCCAGACGAATGACATCTTGGGGTGTTGTCTTTTTTGTCAAATTACAATCACTCGCACTACTCACGTAAATCGACACGTTAATACATAAAGGAAACGAACCGCGGTATTAAGCAAGCTTTTACGGTAGTCGATTTTGGTACGAAGAACCTGAAAAGGAACCTGATTATCTCAGAGAGGCAGCCGACAAGAGAGTTGGCGGGTTTCCTTTCAATTGTGGTAGTATTTTACGCTACACATACGATATACTTCTTGTGGCACACAATGTTCATAAATAAAACGCGTTGCAAAGTCACAACTTTCCCGTGTATTGCACAAAATATCTGCAGTACGCCAGCAACAAGCCATTCAGGAGGTCTTTTCGAGCGTATGTTCAGGCGGTTAAACATTTTCTACACGCTCGTAAATCAGTGCATCTCGATACACGAGTCCTCTGCGATTTGTAACGCAGTGTTCAAGCGTATTGTGATATCCTGATGTTTCATACTACGGTCAAGCCCCAAAGCGGAGCACGCAACTGCAGTGGCCTTATAGTTTGTTGAGCGAGCGAACAGCGAGTCGTCCACCGTGCCGAAAACGACGTAAGAGGAAACAGAAGGCTGATAAACGTTCCGACCCTACAGCGTCCAGCTTTTCCTCTATGAACTTTGATTTTCTGCGAGGAAGCTCCGCGAAAAGGTCGGGCCGCACACTGGAAGCAGTTACAACGCAGCCGCGTCGTAAATCACGCTCCTCGCTTTACGGCAAGGCCAATCGGGCTCTCGGTTCGAGTGCCCTCGCGTTACATGCGTCCGTCGATCGACGCACAAACGCTTCCGAGGCAGCGCTTCGAGAGCAGACCGACGTCCAGCGCCACTGTGAGCTGCCATAGCCAGCACCAACGAGAGAAGAACACACGTGCATTCCCACAAAAACGCCCAGCATGTTGTCATTTTTGTTTACCTGGATGGTTGCAGAGGTCATCGGGAAACCCGGCTCGTTTAGCTCGTCAGTCCCTAACGAGGTTGATGGTATCTTTCGCTTTAATGAGCATTCACCAGGTGGGAAAGAGACAGACGCTCCTTGCCTTCTCAAGGTGGTGCTGACCAAGACAGTTACGTACGAGACATGCGACTCCGGAAGATCGAGCTAATTGATCCGGCCAGCCATCGAGTCAGCTCACATCAGACTTCCTCCGAACAGTGGCCGTGACTCGGTCTTAATTTCGGGCTTACATGCACTCGAGGGATTGAGCTCGGATGTCGCCGGTCAGAGGGGGTAGCGAAGGTTTCACGCTCGTGCAACAGGAACATCTCCGCGTACCCAGCCCACAACCGTTGCATCCCCGCGCGCGACACCCAGTCTGATCTGTTGACCTAGCTTCGTCCGAACTCAACGTGACACCGAGTCCCGACCGAAGCCCGCTCTACAGAACGACGTCTCAAACCAGTCTGTGGCTCTCGACCGTCTGCGCTCCGTTGCTCGAGCAGAGCCGTCCGGCGAGCCTCGGCCGATCGCTAGGCCTTCCGGTCGCCCCTTAGGCCTTTCGGCCGGGCCCTGTCAGTGCCGCGCCCGCACACGTAGCCGGGCTCGGGGTACGTGGCCGGCGGGTTCCGCGTGAACGCGTCCACGGCGTGTGCCGGGCGTGCGGAGCGGCCGAAGAAGGCCGCCGCGTGCCGCCATGTTTCGGTCGGGCCGCGTCCCAAGATGGCGCCTGGAGAGTGTTTATCGATTATGTGCCTCCGCGTGCGTCACGAGTGCGGGGCTCCCGGGTTCGGCCGGCGAGGGGAAGCCCTGGGTCGGCCGAGGACAACGTGAAGGCGCAGCGGCGCCCACAGCGAGGGCCGCACGTTCGGAACCTCGTGCCAAACACGGCCTTCCACGACTGCAGCACGCGTGCAGCACAGCCCCCGGAGCGAGGCGCGGGCACGGGTTCGAGAACACCGTGCTCGCGCCTGCGCCCGTTGGCGCGGTGGCACGAGCCCATCGCGACCGGCTCGCGGTGCTGGCGTGCCCCAAGGGCGACCTAGGGACGCCCCGGGTCACTCCGGGGTCCCCAGGAATCCCTGAGAGCGCATGGCGCGCGCACGCATGCACCGGACGGCGGCAAGGAGCGGCACCACTCACTTCATCTGTTTGACGATGGTGCTCTTGCCCGATTCTCCCGCACCTGCAAGAAAGAAGCGGTGCCGTCAGAGGTGGTGCCGAGAAAGCAGCGGAGGCGCCATAAGTGTCATTGCCCAGAGCCATGATGGACGCCATGACGTGCGCTAAGCCTAATCACGCTCGCAGTCCCGTGCAGTCCGGCAGTGCACGAGGCTCAGCCCCGGCGTCAGGCACCGGGGCCCGTGGACCTGAGGCCCCGGGCCTGAGGCCGGGTGCCGCGGCGGGCCTCGCCGGCGAGCCGCGCGGCGCTGCGGAGGAGCCCCCGCGCTCACCGAGCAGCAGGAGCTTGATGTCTTTGGCGGCCTGGATGCCGTCCTCCTTGAGGTTCTTCTCGATCTGCTTGCTGCGGGCGAGCGCCGCCCGCTCTTCGGCGCTCATGGCACAGCCCATGGCTCGCACTGTTCGGGCGTCTCCTGGATCCCCGGTGGGCGGCGGCCGAGCCTCCCTGCGTCGCGGGCCGTTCGGGGCGCCGTCCGGGCAACACACTCCACACGCGCCGCTGCTGGCGAGCTGGCCCTGGAACGCGCTGGACAGACGTCGAGAGCACCGTGCGGCCCGGAAGGCGGCTTTCCGCGGCGGTATGATAATGAGCGCTCGCTGGGGCTACGCCAATCGACGCGCCGGACCCAGTTGACGGTCTCCTAGGCAACGCGTGCGCGGGCTCCTGACGTCAGCGGGACGCCATGTTCGCGATGCGCTGCCGGTTCGGGCCCTACGCTGCCTACGCCGCCTTCCGCAGCCGGCAGAGTGTGCAACACGGCCGACACAGCTGTGGCCGGAAAGCGGCCGAGGGCGCGCACCGCGGCTGCAGCCGCGCCAAGACCGGCGTCCGCGTGGCGCCATCTCGGGGAAGCCGGCTGAGGCCTCGGGCCGACTGCTCAAAGGGCGTTTCCTCGAGTGGACGCCCAGGGCCCAAAGTGCCGCTAAGAACCCTCCCAAAAGAGAAAAACCAAAGACGGGGTGGGGAGATTGAAACGTCTCATTACGCCTCGCGATGGTCCCACTTTATTTAAACCACAAAGAAGATATTTTTGCCCCAACGTAATCAACTCTTCGGTGACGGTGTCCTCACTCCGCACTTCGGGCACGCGCGACCACTCAGCGACCGGCGCGGTATTTCAAAGTGGGGCGCTGTCGTCAATGTTGAGGCACGCGTTCTGTCGGCTCGTCTAAGTGCCCACGACCATTATAGTCTGGTCACCGTACGACGAAGATGCGGTGAACGCTGTGTCGCGACGTACTATGTCGCCTTACTTCACTTCCTATGCCGTAGCCGAAACCAAATCCGCGCAGGCGGGCTTCGCCTCACATCGAGGGGCAGTGCAGGAAAGAGACATTTGCAGAGCAGCTGGCGACTTGCAGGGGATTGCATACGGTCATAAATTCGCAATAATTCCAAAAAGCTCGAATTTGAGAACATTTCCGACCTTCTTCCATCGCTCCGACGTGCGTGATGTACGTATAAACCGGGAACACGCAGTCCGAGCACTTTTGAATAAACCGGCCCGGCGCCTACGAACCGCGCGTTGGTAGAAAACTGAACGAAGGGCCATATCTGAGATTTAAAATTTCACGATCGATCTTAGTATGTAGGACGTTTTATCCAACGGTTCGTACTTGTTTTAAGGCGAAACCCTTATATGTCCCATTACGCGAAAATGCGTCGGAGTTGTGCCCGAAAGATGGCCATAAAAATACGTCATCAAGCACACGCTGCTCAAGGTCAAAGCGAACGCGCTTCAGAAACAAAACACAAATAAAAGCACAGCAACGCGCTTCGTCACGAAAGCCGTGAAGCCGGCGGGGAAGAAAAGCACGCGCCGCTCAAGGTCAAAGCGGACGCTCCTCACAAATAAAACACAAAGAAAAGCACAGCAATGCAGATGTTTCGTCACGGAAGCCGTGAAGCCGGTGGGGACGCCGCGCCTGCGCAGTGGGGGAGTGTCATGTCAACGTCGGACAATAATGCTTTCGCATTCCTACACGACACGGGAGCAGTCTTAAAGGGCAACTCCGCTCAATTCCGAAAAATTTAGGCTTACATCTGATTCCATTTCACGAAGCACTACTAAACATCTCTACGTCTTCGGATTCGCGAAATATGGAATATTATATGTGTAATCCTAATTTGAACATCAGGTGATACCGAAACCGAAACTTCGGTTGCGTCAGGCAACATTGGTCTCGTGTCGTCAGAGTCATGGCCACGTCACGTCGAACCACGTGGTCTTGTGACGTTCGGGGGGGGGGGGGGAGGGGGGCGAGGGACAGGACACGCGACGCGGGCAGGTCGCTACGCATGGCGTGGACGGTGATGGCCCGGGGGAAAGGGGGAAAGGGAGAAGACGAAAGAGGAGAAGGGGAGTGGAGAAAACAGACCGATAAGCGCGCAGGGCAGCGAAAACTGGCGCATCCGCGTTACGGTGATCACGTGGACGCCGTTCAGCCAACACCGGGAGAAGAAACTCATGACGTCATCGTTCAATTTCGCTCTGAGAAGTAAAAACAAACAAAACGTGAGAATGACGTAGTCATGCCTCTGACGTATTGGTTCAACGTTGGCCGCTCGAACTCCGTCGCATTGACTGTGCTGACGATTGCGCCTCACGTCGCACGCTAGAGTTGGCAGATTTCGGCGACTTGGCTCACTTGAAGGTTTGCTGGCCAGTTTATTAAATATATAGACGGAATTAGATCGTAATATTTGACATGGGGTCTTCCTATATGATACTGAAGAGGGCTACATAGCTTTCTAACTATCAAAAATGAAGCGGAGTTGCCCTTTAAGTGCCTTCGGAGTGTTTTTGATCCGTAATATTTTGAGCGTCTCAATTTCTCCCTGAGGCAATAGTGAAACTGTGATGGCTGGCTTTTCCCTACGACGTCCGCTTTTTTTTTTTTATTGTTTCTACATCTTAGGGTTACTATGGATGCCACACACAAGTTGGACTCCTGATCCGACGAGTCTCTACCGCGCGCCGGGGATAACATTTGAGAGCCCCGGCTGCTCGGCAGAATAAACGTCGCAACTCACCGCGTGCAACCCCGGCGCGGCAACACCATGCAACTCACCGCGTGCCACACTCAACCATGGAACTCAACGCGTGCAATGCAATACCACGCAACTCATCGCGTGTCATCCTCAACCACGGAACTCATCCTGTGCAGTGCGACACCACACAACTAACAGCATGCCACCCTCAACCATGGAACTCATCGCGTGCCACCCTTAACCACGGAGCTCATCGCGTGCAGTGCAACACCACACAGCTCACAGCATGCCACCCTCAACCACGGAACGCCCAGTGTAACACCCCACAACTTATAAGTTGGGGGGTGTTGCACTGCACACGATGAGTTCCGTGGTTGAGGGTGACACGCGGTGGGTTGTGTGGTGTTGCACTGCACGGGATGAGTTCCGTGGTTGACGGTGGCATGCTGTGAGTTGTGGGGTGTTGCAGTGCACGTTCCGTGGTTGAGCTGTACCACACGTACCACCCTCAACCGCGCAACTCACCGCATGCAACGCAACACCACGCAAATCACCACGTCCTAATTGCTGTGTGTGGTTTTCTCCGAACTTTCACGGACAGCGTCTCATTACAGGCAGCCGACCGCAAGCTGCTCAACACCGGCCACTCACCGCCACGTATCACCGCTAGCTATTTAGCACGAATATGCGGCAGACTCAAGGCAAGGCCTCAACCCCGGCGAGGCTATTGCGAACACCTGTGTATGGTCCTCCTGACGCTTATGGTTCCCGCGAATACATTACGCCCAGCGCTCGAACAGGCAACCGTATACGTATCAACGACAAGCCAGTACCTGACCTGGGCCATTAGGCACCACTTCGTTCAGCATCTTTCTTCATTTGGAGCCAACTCTCTACTCTCTGCGCCACTAGGGGGGAGCCCTGCGGTGACTTGCTCTTTCCCACGACGCCACACACAAGTCGGACTCCGAGGAGTCTCTGCCACGCACCGGGGTCCCGAACACCATACGAGAGCCCCGGCTGCGCGGCAGAATAAACAACTCGGCTCCCGCCGAGGGAGCCCCGCCGAAGAGCGAGAGGGACGACCTGGGACCAGTAGCCGGAGCAGACGCATAAGTCGTACTCAGGTAAATTCACGACGTATTAATCAGTTTAATAAATTATATATTTGTAGAAACATTCGATTCCTACAATTCCTGTGGTGGCTGGCTTGCCCTTTCCTACGACACAACAAAACCATGGCTACAGCCATGGCCCGCTCCCTTACAATTTTTCGGTTGAAACGACCTCGAAGGTAAATTTGGTTCTGTGTGTCAGCACTTCGGAGCTCACCTTTCAGCGGAAATCGAAGAGGTGCCGAACACGCCACAGGGAACGCTCAGGTTGTTTAAAGGATGGTGCAGCACCGACTCAAGTCCCTTGAACCGCTCACTATCGAGCCCAAGCATCTGACTGCTTGCCTTTCAACGACGGGAGACTTGTTTCAAGATGAGCCTACTTTTTGCGGCTTCCAAACTGTCGTTTAGGAAGCGGCTTTCGGTCGCATGTTGGCGGTGCAATAAACAGCGAAAAAAAAAAAGAATTGCTGCAGCTTTGTTTATATGATTAAACACGATGAAATGCGGTAGCTTTAGAGGAGCATCGTCAGTGAAAACAATTAGGAAAGGAAATGGTGCGGTGATGAAGTGGTTGTAATATGCCGTACACAAATCGAGGATGGCGTCTAGGACGACTTCCTAGAGGACGACGTTAAGAACGACGTCTATGACGACCTCAAGGACGCCGTCTAGAAGACGTCGAGGAAGACTTCTAGGATAACTTCAAGGACAACGTCAAGTATGACTTCTGAGACGACCGCAAGGACGACGTCGAGTACGTCAGGTCACGTCAGCTCCAGCTACCGGCGCTTACGAGCTTACGCGACCGACACTTACGCAACCGGCGCTTACGAGTTTACGCGACCGGAGCTTACGCTTCAACCCATCGCTTCGACCACGAGCACTTCAGCCCAGAGTGTCGAACCGGAACCGAACCGAAGACCAGAGCCGAACCGTTATTTTTAGCCGAACCGGAACTGAACCGAACCGAAATCTTCACCGCCATCTTGGAACTGAACCGGAAAAAAATATAACAGTAACCGGTTCAAAACGGTTCAGGGTAATTTCTTTTTGCTTTTTTGTTAGTATCACAAAATTAATACCTGTGAATAAACAATTGGCAGCTGTATTTCTATGTGTTGATAAAATCGTCATGTATAGAACTGCAATGTAAGAAAAATTGTGGGTTCTCGTGGCGCTTTTGTATTGGCACTATGATTAACCATGCGTCACGTGGTCACCTGGCATCATGGTGTCAAAACATGCTGTCAAGTAATGTCGACGTCACGTGACTTACTGCGTCAAGTTGATTTAATTTTAGAAAGACCCCGTGACGTAACATGACGTCACGACTTCGCACCGAGAGTGACATGACACCGTGACGTGCGTGATTTTCATGACCCTGAGTCGAGTACTCGGATTCATGACAATCAGCATCGCCAAACATTCGGGTAACGGCTCACGTTCAATGAAAGAGGATAATAGCAAAGTCTGAAGCTCAGCTCATGCTATATGCTTTGCCCACCACAGCGCATGACTATGATAAACACTGACGGTATATAATTAGCGTCAGATCACGTGACGGCTTGTTCTAATTACGAGTTGAGGAGGGAAAAGCTGTTTCTTTCCTTTATTTATTCTGCGTCTGCCATTGCGCGGAGGAGAAAACTAATGGATGTTTTGG